TCGAAGCACAATACACAAGCTGCCGACAGGCCAAGCGTATTTTTCTACCAAACATGAGTATGTAGGATGATGCTGCACTGGGTTGGATCACTGATTTTTAGTGTTTGACTTTTTGAATGCTTGTAATTAAAAGTACCTATATATTTCCGCCTCTCGAAAATAAGCTGCATGTTTGACGCATGTTTTTACACCCGTCCGAGTTCCCAGAACCATTGTGAATGTCCAGCCCCCGCCTGCCTGGCCTGGGCCGCGAGAGACCAGCCCTGTGCGTTAGCTGTCAGCACTCCTGCCGTCCCCGCTGTGCTCCGGGACTGCCCTGCACTGCCAGACCCAGCAGCCTTCATGCTGCTACGGGGCGGTTCAGGGGTGTGCCAAGTGCTGCGTCTTGCTGCTTTCCTGTCTTCTGGGGGGGCTCTGGGCCCTCCCATCCTGCCTTGGGCGCAGTGCCTCCCCCTGCAGCAACGTGCCGCACCCCAACCCAGGGAGATAGGGCGGCGGGCACCAGGCACTGGGAGCACCACTGCCGGGTCTGCTGCAAGCTGTCTTCAGAGCTGGTCCATCTCGTGGCATCGACTGACCCATTTCGGGAGCACACGACGGCTCCCCTTCCAGCCCGTGCGTGAAGACACACCCGAGGAGCTGCGTCTGCCCCGTCTTACTGGGTGCTGCGATTTTTCTTGATTTGATGGTTGGTTTCAGATGTGTCCCATCCTTTTGCATTAGAAATAAAGCTGTCAGAAGCCTTGACAGGAGCACCTGGGGCCCAGCTGATGAGAAGGGGAGGGGTGTAGGGGGCGGCCCCCGCGGGGCATCTGTACTCCTGTCTCTTAGGGAAACTGCCCCCGGCTCTTAGGCTTTTCTAAACTGTTCAGAGGTACTTTTCTATTGTCGTTTTTAAAAATAAAGTCCTTCTCTCAGCTCTCACACCATGCTTGCAGATAGATTCCTTTCTGCGGGAACAGGCTGGCTGTGAGCCAAGGGCACAGGGCTGGGAGCGCCCAAGCGTCACCAGCTTGGTGGATTCCCACGCCGCAGCTGACGCAGAGGCTGCCTCAGAGTCGTTTACGGTGATGACTGAACTCCACATAGTGGCCATGATAAAGCACACACATGCCCTCCAGGGGGCAGACAGCAATGCTCAGGTCTTCATGGGGCTCCAACAGGGGTCTGGGCTGGGTGTCAGAACCCCAGAGTACATCCAGGATCGTCCTGCTCAGCCCCCCAGGCACTGGGCAGCTCCCCAAGGAGACACCTAGTGTGGATGCTTCCATGTGGGCCGGGAGCTCCACGACCATGCAGCCACCAGTGAGTGAAGCACAGGTGATGAGCTGGGGTAGCTGGAGGGGGGGCGGGGCAGGGAGGGGGGCAACCAGCCTCCCATAAAACCTGGTCCCTGTTCCCACCATGAACGACCTAACACCCTTGCCCTTGGGAGCAGTGAGGCAGGGCTGCTGGCCTGTACGCACTGGGGCCCAGTTCACGGGCTCCATGATGCCACTTTGCCCACCTCGCTGCCATGTGAGCCTGCTTTTAAGCACCAGCGTGCACGGCCCTCCAGCCAGCGCCTGAGAGAGGAACCCACTCAAAACGGCGAGTTCAAAGAATTCATAGCAAAGAGGCTCAAAGTTTGCAAGATAAATTCTAATCCAAAGCATACCAAAGGGCTGGGCCCAGGTTCAACATCACATGCCCAAGTACTGCTAGGTGTAATGCCAGCACCCCGTATGGGCCCTGAGCACCAGGGGTAGCCCCAAAGCCAGTGGAATCCCATGTAGCTGCCCCCTGGCTTCAAGGCCCCCAGCTGCTGCTCTTGAGAAAGAGACATGATTGACAGCCTGGAGCAACACAACTCTTGTGTTTGGGTTTTGTGGTCTGTCTTATAAGCCACACCCGACAGTGCTCAGGGAACTATGTGCCAGGAATGGAACCCAGGCCTTCCACATGTACTCAGCCCTTTTTGTTGTTGTTGTTGTTCCTTTTGGTTTCTGAGCCACACCCAGCCAGCAGTGCTCAGGGCTCTCCTGGTAGGCTCAGGGAACTGTACAGGGTATCAGGAATCAAAGCTGGGTCAGCCACATGCCAATCAAGCACCTACCCACTGTGCTATCACTCGGCTTGCACGTTATTCCTTCTGATGACGTGGACTGGAAAGAGATTCCCACACAGCAGGCCCTCCAGCTGGAGCTGAGACGAGCATTCTCACAGATCTGAAGTGCTGGCACATGGAAGTACTTTTTCACTCAACCCACCCTGTGACGCCCTCTGGTGTAACCAACTGTTCAACATTCCTAGAAGGCAGAGGACTATCTGCGACTAGTCAGATGCTGCCTGAAGCACTGGTCTTCTGAATTGCCTCCATGAAAATTGTAACTGAGGGCTGGAGTGATAGCCCAGCGGTAGGGCGTTTGCCTTGCACGCAGCCAACATGGCCGACCCGAGTTCGATTCCTCTGCCCCTCTCGGAGAGCCCGGCAAGGTACAGAGAGCATCTCGCCCGCACGGCAGAGCCCGGCAAGCTCCCCGTGACGTATTCGATATGCCAAACACAATAACAACAAAGTCTCCAATGGAGACGTTACTGGGCCCGCTCGAGCAAATCGACGAAGGTGCTGCCAGAACCCACCCAAACTGGCCTTTCTTCCAGGGAGGGACGGTCCCTGAACAACGGGGAAGAAAATGCTGGAAAAGACAGCCGCAACCGTCCTTGCGCCAACGCTGGAAATTCTAGCAACACTCTACCCATGTCTAACACTAAAGAAGCTGTCTTAAGTTTTTCTAAGGGAAATAAAGGGGGACAATTTCCCTAAACAATGGTATCCCCTCCGAGAATTCAGGCCTGGAGTGCGAGGGGTTCAGCAAAAAAGCCGAGAATGACCGACTGAAGACAAATTTCTCCTTGTTTCTGGGGCTCATCCCACCGAGTTCAGGCTGTAGTTTATTCACGTCTCTCCTTTTAGAGTCATGTTTCTTTCCAACTGAAAATATTTTAAGAGAGAAGTCTTGCCCTGCACATCCTCTGCCACACAGCCCTGCGAAAATACTGGAGGACTGGAAATCACTGGTGCTCCTGTGTCAAGGAACGTTCCTCCCAGCTAGTGCAAATGGCCAAACTGGGCCAAGATGCCCTGGCCACTTTTCATTAGTTCCTGATGGAAACTGGTCTGGGAAATGTTTTCTGAGAAGCTTCCCCGAAGCTTCCCCAGGTCTGTCTCGGAACTTCTAGGCCGCTTTAATTCTACTCTAAATGCCCTATTGCTGCGTAGGAACATTTTCTTTTTGGGCCCGTTCGTGGTTCTGAGCCACAGCTCCTTCCCAATGCCGCCCCAGGCACAGGGCAGAAGAACTAACGTGGTGTTGCTGCTGCCTTCCCGCCTGCTCTGCTCCCGGGTCCCAAGCGCTCCTGCCCCTGGGACATCATCATGGAGACACTCACAGGATCTGACAGCAGCCGCCAATGCCCCCTTTTTACACATTTTTCTGGCGCGACTACATTTCTCTTAGCTCTGTCCTAAAAGCCTCCAGTGATCGTGATGAATTATAGATCAGATGGACTCCAGACTCTCTATCTTGGCATTCGAACTCACTCAGCCACGGTGGCCGTTCCAGTTTTTTCTAAATGATCCACAGGTCAAGCAGAAATAAATGAGCAGAAGGAAATAAATTTGACCTGAATTTCAGGTGGACGACCATGTCTTTCCAACCCAAAAGAACTGGAGAAAGGTTCTTTCTCTTAACGAGGCTCAAACACAACCGAACTCCTATCGCAAGGACTATGTGGAGGAATTTTCCTTCCTAGAGGGATCAAATTTTAACAAGAAAATGCAGCAAGTGCAATTAAGCTCTAAAATGTGTGTGACAACTGAGCAAGACATTTATCGGGCCAGTTCTCCACACGCTGATGAACACAGCCTTAGCTAGACTCCTCTGCTAACCCCAAATTAGCAGTAAGCATCTTACCTTAGACCGTGAGGCCTTAAAGTCGATCTCCACACAAGACACGATTAAGTGTTTAAGATGTCCAAGATGCATTTTCAGGCTTAGCTCACAGAACAGAACAGTACAGACAGTACGAGAACGGCCATCTAAACTAGCTTAAGACTCTCTTACTTATATTCAAGCTCCTCCTTACTAACAGAGCCTCCATTTCCCTTCCTTCCACGCCATGTTCTGGGTCTCAGCTGTAAGAAGCAGTAAGCTGATGCTGTCTATAGAAGAGAAGCAGAGCTTAGAGAGAGAACTGAAAGAGCCAGACGGTACCGAGGTTAAGGCACTTGCCTTGAAAGGGTTCGATGGCTATTTAATCTTGGCACTATACATGGTCCCCCGAGCCTGACTAGGAGTGACCCCTGAGCTCTGCCAGATGTGGTCCCAAAACCCACCCCATTCCCTCCCCCCAAAAAACCCAAAACAGCAAAAGTGTCTCCTAACTACACACAATACTTGTTTGTGAAACTTAGTAATTGTTTGTATAGTTCCCAATTCCTCTTGTGACCTGCAAAACCTAGTATTACCCAAAGAGCAGAGCAAGCACAGATAAGGACCTTGGTAATGTCACTCAGGGCTGGGAGACCACACAGGAACTCCCGTGACTGAGGACCCACTCAGAGTCATGGGAGTTGATCATTGGTTGATAATGATTCCGAGGAGCTCGCCAGTATTGGGCAGGACTGAGAAATCCCCAGTGGAATGGGCCCTATGAGGGTTGGGACTGAGGCTCAGGCTGACAAAAAGCCTATCCATCCCTGTTGGAAAAGACATGAAATCATGACTTGCAAATAGAGAAGAATAAACATTGGCATACCCTGTGAAAACATTAAAGATCACCTGTATTATCGCTTTACCGGCTACCAACAGGCCCCTTGCCTGTGGAAGACACAGTCATAGACTGACACCCCAATCAGGGCTCTGTGAGAGTTAAGCCTGGAGCTGCGGGAGCCACTGCCAGAAGGGAAAAAACCAACTGACCAGCATCTGAGGACTCATTTCTACGATGATTTTATTATAAATATGTCTGTCGGGATAACATTGTGTCCAAGGCTATCTGCAAACATGTTCTAAATAACGAAGGCAGAATGGAATGAGGGATCACTTGGAAGGAAAGGTGAGTAGCAAAGACACCTGCACGCCATGCTCAGCGCTTCCCCCAGGAAGTCACAGAAGCTTAGCAGGGAGGACCACGTTCCCAAGAGCCACTTCTTTCCAACGGGCTCCCAGCTGGGTGGTCTGCTTTGCACTGCTCCTCTCCTCAGTCCTAGGAAGTCGAGCAGGAACACGGTCGTCTCCGGGTCACGACAACAACACAGCTCATGATTCTCTGGGTGACTCAGCTCGGCCAGCGCTGGCACTATTTCCCGGGTGCTATGTCTGAGTAGTCCTTCAGCACTCCCGCCAAGTGCTCGTTATGCGTCTTAAAGCGCCGCTTCTTCTGCGAAGCGGGCTTTTTCCTTCTCTGGATCGGGGCCTGGAGGAAAAGGTAAGCACAGAAATAACAGCTACTGCCTGTGACGATACACCGCCGAGTTACCCAATACGCCCGGAAACCAGCAACTAAGCGGGTCTCTGACCCTTTCTGCCCGACCCCGTGTCAACCTCACAAGGCACTCACTGCACGTGCTCACCCACCCCAGGACGGCCCTTCTCCATCTGAAACACACAGGCTGCCACAGAAACATACCAAGATTAGTCTAGTCGGTTAAGTAGACAAAAGAGGGGCAGTGAAGGCTCTTGTGTTTTCACCCTATTATCAGGCTTTAAAATACAGCCAGGAGGGGCTGGAGCGACAGCACAGCAGGTAGGGCATTTGCCTGGCACGCGGCCCGACCCGGGTTCGATTCCCAGCATCCCATATGGTCCCCCAAGCAAGGCCAGGAGGAATTCCTGAGTGCATAAGCCAGGAATTACTGTCCCTAAACTAGTAATTCCTGAGTGCATGTGCGTTGCTGGGTGTGACACAAAAAGCAAAAATAAATAAAATAAAATACAGCCAGGAGCAGGGAAATGGCTCAGAGGCTGAAGTCTGTGCCTGGCAGGCAGGAGCTCCAGGTTTCAGCCCTGGTTTCACAGGGGTTCCGAGGTAGGCATGACGCCAAGCATCAAATAATAAATTAAAGTGTCCACCGCTGTCAATAAGAAAGGATCCCTGGTCAGGCAGGAGCGACCGTGCAGCAGGTAGGGCATTTGCCTCGTACAGCCACCCGAGGTACTATCACTGGCACCTAAATGGTCCCTCAAGCCCACCAGGAGTGATCCCTGAGTACAGAGCCAAGAGGGAGCCCTGAGCACTGCCCGGTGTGGCCTAAAAACAGGCATCCATTGCAAAAGGGGGGTGAATAGGTACCACAGCATTTCCTTTACGATTTTTGTTTTCTGTTCCTATTCCCTGTTCTTTGCTATACTTAAAATACCACAATCACACCATAAATCTAACTAAGCAATGACAGAAAGTCATAAAGTGCTACAATCATAGTAATTCGTGGAGACAACACTGGTGACAATTCTTTTGGAAAAAAAGAATTTAAAAGTCTCTCCGAATAGGTACATGTTCAGTGAATGGAGGTGCAGCGGTGAGGGCATGCAGGTGCTCTTCACTGCGGCTGTCCCTAAACTAGGGAACTTAAGAGTTCGGAAGAAACCCGACCCCTGGGAGTGAGCTCCAGGGTGGAGGAGAGCTCAGCGCGCTGGAGTGCATGCTCCGCACACAGGAACCCCGAGTTCCATCCCTGGCACCAATGGTCCGCACAAGCGCAGCCGAGACTGATCCCGGAGGACCGAGCACCAATGGGTGTGGCATGAAAAACACGACATCTAAGTCTTCCGTCAATTACTAATCCCTCTTCTTACTTAGCAGGCCATGGGACTACAGAATGAAAGCAACACTACCCTGCACGCAATGGATCTGAAAGCTGCCAGGGGCAATTCCATGTGACAGGGCAGGGTGAAGGCCAAGCCAGGAGCCCAAAACGAGGGGCCAGAGAAGCAGGACCCTTTGACACCAGAGGCGGCACGTGCACACGAGAACAACTTTGCTGTGTCAGGCGCGCATACATGCAGGCTGGCGTGTGTCTAGACCACCTGCTCGTCAGCGAACAGGAAGGGAAGCAAGCAAAATGCTCTCAGAACGGAGGGCTGTTTTCCCCTGGGAGATTACATACCACTTTCTTTGGTCCGGAATCCTGCATGGAAGAAATACCCTGACGCTTCAGATACTCCTCGATTTTCTCCTCATCCATGGAATCCACAGTGACACTCCTCCACAGTTTCTGAAACTCTGTGCCAACAAGACAGTTATTTTCCAACAAGATCTAGCATCTCCGTGATGAAAACTCAACCTTAAGCATTATTTCCTCTGGTCTGAATGAGAATATCGGAGATTCCACTGTGAAACCAAGGGAGTACAGGCAGAACACAGGTGCCGGCAAGCCGCAGCGGAAGGTCAAGGCCACGGACAGACACTCTCCTTTGAGTCCACATCCAATTCTCTCCACGGAGAGGGGAGACTCCACAGAGACACTAGGAACCAGCATTCTCCATGGAAGAGAAGAGCTCTGCCCACATCTTGGAAGCTGGTGACCAACAGGTGACGGAGTAGAAGGTGTCCCATCAATACTGAGACAGAAAAGCACTGCCTCGTGTCCTTGGTGGGGGGAGGTGAGGATGGGGCTCAATCTATTAAATGGCTACAAACTCTTCCAGAGCAGGGAATTCTACTTTCCTAAGTTTCCCAGTTTAGGTGGGGCTGAACCTAGTATATCCCCTACAATTTCACTACGTAATTATAAAGATGGTATATTCTACTCCTGTTCACGTAACATAAATTTCTGCTTTATATTTTATTTTTACAGCCACACCTGGCTGTACTCTGGCTCTGTCCTTGGCTTTGCTTAGGGATCACTCCTGGTGGTGCTTGAGGGATGCTATGTAGTGCCAGAGATCAAACTAGGGTTGGCCGACTGCAAGGCAAGTGCTTTAGCTCCTGTACTATCTCTCGGACCCTTTAAAAAAAAAAAAACACTTTTAAAAACTCACATTAAAGTAACTTTACATTAACAGAAAAGTTGTAAGATCAGCTCTGGCATACCCAATCCAGCTCCCAATGTTAACACTTCATATGACTGTTTTGTTTTGCTTTGTTTGGGGCCATACTCAGTGGTGCTCAGTGGTGCTCAGGGCTTATTCCTGGCTCTGTGCTCCCTCCTGGTAGGCTGGGAGAACCATAAGGGTGCTGGGAATCAGATCTGAGTTAGCTGCATGAAGGCAAGTGCCCAACGCGATGTATTATTTCTCTGAGATAATACACAATTTTTCATTGAAGTTACTGAAACTAACACACACACACACACACACACACACACACACACACACACACACCCCTTGGCGACAATGTGTATTTGCTAGCCCAGGCCCCACTCAGATCCCACCCTCTATTTGGCTGTCAGGATTTCCTCCTGCGTCTCTGTCTCTCATGACCAGGACATTTCTGAGAAGTTCTGGTCAGTAATTTAACAGAATGATGCCTAGTGTGGGTCTGTCTGATATTTCCTCCAATATGAATGGAGCTTATGCGCTTTGAGCAAGAAAGAAAAATGACCAAATTCTAAGGAAAATGATAGAATTCTAAGTCGAACTGACACAAACTTAAAAAACCACACAGTGACACCTTTAAAGTTTAAGAAGGGAAAACTTCTACCCAGAGTTCCATACCCAACAATAATAAACCTGGCAATGCACAGGAGTTACTCCTGGCTCTGCACCCAGGAACTGCCCCTGGCAGTGCTCAGAGGACTATATGGGATGCTGGGAATCGGACCCGGGTTGGACATGTGCAAGGCAAACACCCTACCCGCTGTGCTATTGCTCCAGCCCCAACAATAATCATCTTTAAAGAATGAATGAGAGGACCCGAGAGGTTAACACAGGTCCAGGCGCTTGCCTTGCATGCAGCAGACCAGAGTCGGATCCCTGCACAACATGTTTTCCCTGAGCACAAAGCCAGGTGTGCCCACTGCCCCCCCACCCCACCCCACACATCTCCCCTACCATCAAAAGGTATGTCAAAGTAGAAATGAAATGATCAGGAAAAAATTAATTCAAGTAATCCAAGTGGATATAACAATAAAGAAAAAAAAAACAAGAATTAGATGGAAAGACACTACCAGGACTTAAGTGCAAGCCTGGCATTCAACCAATGCCAGTCCAACACACACACACACACGCACACACATACACACACACAGAGCACCACTTCTCACACACACATACACACAGCACCACTTCTCTCTCACACACACACAGCACCACTTGTCTCACACACACACAGCAGCACTTCTTTCTCTCATACACAAACACACAGCACACCACCTCTCACACTCACACACCCCCAGGTGGGCACACACACCACACACATACACACACACACACACACACACACACACACACACACACACAAGCATTGCCAGGTGCAGCACCAGCACCAGAGCCCAGGAGCCCGACATGGTGCACTGCGGGAGAGCCACAACTCGTCCGGCTCACTCAGTGCACAGCAGCATAAAAGGCAAGGGAAGAAGGAAGCAAAGACAGGAAGTACCTAAGAGGCATTTCAGTGAAAAATCATAACCATGCAAAGGCAGGTGTGAATCATGTAAATACAACAACTCAGGCACATCTTTCCCCTGGACCTGGCTCTAGGCTTGCAAGCACCTGGTGAGTCTGAGGAGACAAGTGTGCACGTGGTACAAAACCCCACGTGGCCACAGTCCCACAACTCTTATATTCTCTGGCCAGGCCACATTCAGCCTTTAGTAGTTCACTAAAAAGGTGAAAGAAAGTATAAACAGCATTCACCATTCCGTGCCAGGTCTGCCTCATCCCATCTTTCCTTAAGGGATATCTATCTCCTTCACTAATCACTGAAATACTATGGTCTTGCGCTGGAGAGATAGGACAGCAGGACCAGAGCTGCCTTGTAGGCGTTCAGTCCCGGTTCGATCCCCAGCAACCTCCATGGTCTTCTTAGCTCCTCCAGGAGTGATCCTTGAGCACAGAGCCAAAGTAAGTCCTGAGCACTGCCAGGTGCCCCTCCCCCCACCTCAACATACACACATCAATTATCTTAGGCCAGAGAGATGGTACAGGGGGTGAAGGAGTTTAGCTTGCATTCGGCTGATCCCCGTTCAATCCCAGGTACCTCACATGGCTCCCTGAGCACAGAGCCAGGAGTAAGCCCTGTGGATCAGTAAGTGTGACCCCTCAAATAATAACAAACCAATATCATGAACTGGAACATCACTAAGTCCCAGGAGAAGTGGCTACTTACTGGGAGGTATCCTGAATTCTAAGAATAAGGAGAGGCTTGGTATCATTTAAGCTGCCACTGAGGAAAGTCAGCAAATACAGAACAGCAAAAGACCAATGCAAATGTGGCCTCAGCGTACTAAATTCGCTGTCTCCCCCCTTTGCTTTGGGGTCACACCCACAGGTACATAGGTGCTTAGAGAACCATACAGTGCCAGAGAGCAAACCCAGGCCTCCTGCATGCAAAACACGCACTCAGCCTACTGAGCTCTCTCTGGCCGTAAACTGCCTGTTCCTTTGCTCTCTGTCAAACCAAATGCAAAACGAAGCTTCACCTGAGTCAATAACACAATAGATACATAAGTAAGCAACCAGAGATGGCAGAATAAAATAGCTAACATATTCGTGAATATATCTGCAGAGCTGAGAGTAACACCACTGTTAATATCATCTTTTTTTCAGAAGAAGGAAGTCTCGAGTCACTCTGGTGGTGCTGCCTCTGTGTTTGAGAATCACTTCTGACAGTGCTCAGTGGAACTCTGTGGTGTTGGGGGTCGAACCTGGGTTAGCCACATGCCAGGCAAAGCACCTTCCCTGCTGTACTATCTCTTCACCCCCACCTCCCAACCCGCCGTTAGTATTGTTCTTATGCTATACCAGATTATATTCTGAGGAATTCTAAGTGCTTCTATTTACATCAGCTAAGACCACAACTACCATGAAGCACAGATAGCATTATTCCTATTTTGCAGATGAGGAATCCATAACAGAGAGATTAAGTAGTTTCCCTAAGCTAGTAAGTCAAGGCTTACTAAAGTCTGACAACTCAGACCATCGGGGCTGCTATATTATACCGACTCTAAATGAGTAAGATCAGGATTAAAGAGAAAATGCCTTCAGGAAGTGAGATACAACAAGTATCAAAGACGCAAGCTCTGTTACCCTTATTCGCGCTTTCCCCCACTTGAGGGAGTCTGCGTCTCTGAGCCAGGCTGCGGGAAGCCCTCAGTGTGAGTGAAAGCTGCCTACTCGAGACCCGCGGTAGGGTGAAGATTGCCACCCAGTGGACCGCTAGAGAAAGACCAACACAGGCTGAGGCACCAACTCTCAAAGGTTTTTCTCTAGAAACGCATTTACTTGCATTATGAACCAAAACTCTGGGATTTTTTAAATAAGAGATTTATGCAATGCTGACACTGAGCCAAATAAGCTTCTTACTCCCGAGGTCCCTGTGACTGGCTGTTCCTCCCAACAATGTCTCCACAGCACAGTATGAACACCTCCTGATACTGTTTCTGCAAGATTGCGCCCTCAGCCAATAAGCTCAAGGAGAGAAGCCCTAGTCAGTGTAACATCCCCAGTATCATTGAATCTGCTGAAGAAAAGAATGCTTCAAGATAATTTAACCTTGATTTTATGAACACTATTCTTTTAATATAAGTCTGGTCCCCAAGGAACATTTGGTGATGTCTGGATACATTTCTGGTTATCACACCATGGGAGAAAATACAACACCTGAGGAAGCCAGGATTCAGCTGAACATCCTGCAAGAAACACCCCCCTGCCACCCCAGTGCTCAAAACAAACAGACTCAAATGTCAGGATCTCCACGTTGAAAAACCTACTTCTTAATATCTTTACCCCAAGAACTCATATGTGTTTTTATTATAAGATCTCCCTGATTAATTGATCACTTACCCGCACTAGTATTTATTTCAATACTACGAATGTTTTTAAGAGGCTTAATTCTGCTAAAAGAATAAATGGGCTCTTTGTTTAAACATCTGAAAGGATTATGGTGAGGAATGTGACAGAGTAACAGAGCTCATGTCTCATGTGCCTTGAGGCCCTAAATTCTATTCCTGGCACCAAGAACAGAGTCAAGGTTTTGCTGTACTTATTGATACTGGGGGTCACTGCCTGGGGCTGCTAGGGATCCAAACTGGGCCCAGCCTCAGGCATGAACATCAGCCTTTGAGCCATCCCCCTGCCCTGAGGCAGACCTTGGAGATCAAGTCCATCCCAAGCTGCCAAAAGGTTAAAAAAACAAAATCAATTTAAATATTAAACGAACTTACATAAAGCCAAATGTTCATGTACAAGAGCCTCAGAATCACAGAATTTGTCAGATCACAACAGACTTTACTTACATGCCGCGGCCATGTACACAGGGCCAACCACTAGCTGCTGCAGACAGACTACCTGTCCTATCTGCACCACTATCTGTTAGAACTGGGATACTTACGTAACATTTACTGAGAATCAACTGTATACAAGTACTCTCAATAAGGATTTTCACAAAAACAAAATGTTCTATATCTTAAAACAAGTCATCGTCTTCGGGCTGATGAAATGCCTTTCAAAGGCACCAAAAACCCAATTATAGGCGCTGGAGTGATAGCACAGCGGGTAGGGTATTTGCCTTGCACACGGCGGATCCGGGTTAAATTTCCAGCATCCCATACGGTCCCCCAAGCACTGCCAGGAGTAATTCTTGAGTGCATGAGCCAGGAGTAACCTCTGTGCAATGCCAGGTATGACCCCCCCCCAAAAAAAACAAACCTAATTATATATAGCATACAAAATACAGGAACCAACTTCAGGTTATTTTACAAATTATAAAATCACAATCAAAACATGTATGGGCTACTAAAGTGACAACACTTGTCAGGTGAACTTCTTGTGCAAAACAATTCAATTTTGTCTTTTTATGTTGTGTAAAGTGCCAAAATTGCAGCACCTGGGCCCAAAAAGTTAAATCTAGTTATACTCTTTTACTCTACATACTTCTACACGGTATCTTATTACTTCTAACTTTTATCATTAAACTATTGTTTATTTTCTTGCTGTTTTGTAAAATTCAAAAATAAGAGTACATAAGAAAACACAGAATTTCCACTTGTAGAGCAAAAATATCCATTATGACTAAGCCCTTTATTACACTTTTACATGACAAATATTGATAAAATATTTAAAACTAAAATTCAAACTACAGACGTAACACACATAGTAAAATACTCCATATGTAACTTAATATCCAACTCTACAATTATAAGAAAATAATGTCCTGCCACTTCAATTTTAAAATCATGCTAAGTATGGTATTATAGATGTTTAACAAATTTAAGGCAATCTAGGTTATTAACCAAAGTGTGTTCCTCCGACCTCGCATCAAGCTTTCCTATCAGGATACGAAATTATATTTGTGAAGCAACAGAAATAAACTCCTACTTGGTATAGTTAAGCATAAGAAATCATTATCATAACTGCAAGTAATTTGAAGAAGAATCTTTCAAAGCACAAAATACAAACTGCATTCTAAGAAACGGTCCATAAGATGTGGAGGTGATAACCTCTAAGAAATGCAACTGCTGGGGCTAGGAATGTGGCACAAGCTGGGAGAGCACTGAACTGGGAGGGAAGGGAGAGGGGAAAGGGGGGGAGAGAGAGTACAGGGGTAAGTTAAGGCACTTGCCTTCCAAGCTGCCCCAGCCCCTCTGAGCCCCAAGCTCCCAAGAATTGATTCCTGAGTGCAGAGTCAGGAGCAGGCCCTGAACACTGCCTCATATGGCCCAGAAACAAACACAAAGTTAAATTACACTTGTAGGGGCTGGAGCGATAGCACAGCGGGTAGGGCGTTTGCCTTGCATGCGGCCCATAAGGGTTCGATTCCCGGCATCCCATACGGTCCCCTAAACATGGCCAGGGGGTAATTCCTGAGTGCAGAGCCAGGAGTAACCACTGTGCATCACCGGGTGTGACCCAAAAAGAAAAAAAAAAAAACTTGTAAATGTTAAAATTTAGTCACCATAAATTTGTAGCATACACTTGTACATTTAAAAGTATCAGAAAGACTCACCTTCATCTACAGAAAATTGACAGCTCTTATCATTGAAGAAAAGAATTTTCTTCTTATCAGGTCGATTTACAAATAGGATCTGGTCCCCTAAGGCCTTAAAGATAAAAAGTTTTTCGATTAACACTAAACTACTTCACACACACCCCCAAAGAAATCTGTTTCTGGATCCCCATTTTCTTTAGCAAACCTCAGCAGAGAGCCAAGGAGCTACCTCCATGGGCAGGAGGACAGACTTGACAGCCCTGGAGTACAGAGCTGGAGTAGCCCCTTAACGTGACCCAAATCCTCTCCCCAAAAATTGAAAAGTACAGACTCAATCACTGCACATCCATGTTCACAGTACCATTACTCAAGACAGGTAAAGCACATGTCCATCATGGAGAGTATCATGCTGAAATAAGTCAGAAGGAGAGGAACAGATACAGAATAACTGCATTCATTTGTGGGATATTGAAAAAACAGCTAGAGTGAGACTAACGCCCAAGGACAGTAGAAGGGCCAGGACAAACGGTCCTCAGTTGGAAACCTGCCTCAATGGCTGGGGAGAGGGCAGTGGGGATAGAGGATGATGATTATGACAATGACAACTGCTCTGGATGGGACATTTGTAGTGAAAGTGGGTGAAGGACCAAACATGGATGGCCTCTCAGTCTCTGTACTGCAAATCATAACGCTGAGGGAGAAGGAGGGGGGAGAGAGAGATTGAGAGAAAGAGAGAGAGAGAAGAAAAGTACCTGCCATGTGTGGGGTGGGGATGACACATGGCAGCGGGATGATACAGTGGATACTGGTGGTGGAAAATGTAGACTGTAAACTGGTGGAGAGACAGGTGCTGGTACATTGTACGACTGAAACCCCCAGGACAAAAGCTTTTTAACCATCTTGTGGTGATTCAATAAAAAAAACATAATTTTTAAAAAATGTATTCATTATCAGATAAATAAGCAAAATGGGTTAACATACATAAAATGGAATATTACTCAAGACTTAAAAAATTCAGATGTTGGAACATGGATGAACCAGAAGGACATTATGCTTTGTGTAATAAACTAGGCAATTACAATACTTTATGATTGAATTTACACGAGGTACTCAGAACCGCCAAATCCACAGGCACAAGAGCAGAGTGGGAGTTGCTGGGGACTGAGGAGAGAGAAGGGAAGCTGCCACTTAAGGGGAGTAAAATTTCACGCTTGCAAAATGTGCAAGTTTAGAAGTTCTTTTTTCCAACAAGGTAGGTAGACCTAACCCTGCTAAGTTGTACACTTAAAAATAGCTAAACTATCAAATTTTGTTTCCTGTTTTCTGCCACACCTCCCTCCCCAGACCTGGCCACTTCTACTGAGCACTAAGGGGCAAAACAGGCACTCCGTCCCACTGAGTTATACCAGCCCTGTATTACGTGTTTGAACTGTAACTTCTTAAAATCTTACAAAACTCTAAAAAGAAGCTTATTCAATACCATTAAAATTAATATATATACTACAAATGCAGACAGGCTTAAAAGCCAATCCTGGCAGCTTATTTGTCAGAAAACCATTCAAGGAACAATTACTACAAGTGACAGGGACAGTCACTGGTTTTCTTCACTCTCGGGTTTTGCTTTAGTATTATTTGCTTTAGTCCCTTTATTATTTTCCCCTTCACTGTACTACTGGGACATTTTTTACATATGTTTTTAAACATTTGATCTTCATGTTTTTGAAGCGAGAAAAAAAAAGAGAAAAAACCCAGGAAAGATTTCAACAAATTCAGAAGCAGTCCTGTGTGAAAATGAAGTCAACCCTGCTTTTCATTACCTCGGCCATACTCCCTAAGAGCAGAGCCACTAAAGACAGCACATCACACCTAAAATCACACCTCCATTTAACAAAGGCCTCTAACCTAAAACAAGCAGTTATCAGTATTAATACACTGCGGCTTTAAACTGTAACTAAACGTTTACCACACCGTAAAAATCCTTCCTCGGCCCTCGCAGCAGAAAGGGGCAGGAGATGTAGCTCAGGTCTTCCATGAGGAAGAGAACCGGGTTTGAGTCCCACAAGATGACCCCCTGAGCACCCGCTGGAATGGTCTTCCACAGGCCGAAGAGTAGAACAGAAAAGGAGTCTAGTAGTCTCTAAGGTAAAATTGAGTTGTTCTACTCTTCAACATGCTGTAGTGTGCACTATTGATCAGCTTTGGAAATACATGATTATTAACATTTGTTTGTGGGCTACACTAGCACGCGACAGGGACAAATGGAGACGTTACTGGCGCCCGCTCGAGCAAATCGACGATTAATGGGAAGTCAAGTGATCAAGTGAATATTTGTTTGTTGCAATTTAAGTCCTGCAACTTTTAAAAACCTTAAGAAGACTCTGGATTCTGTTTATGGCCAAGAAGCTTGTATAGAACCAGTACTTCCATGAATACCTACTATAAATTCTGGAGAAGACGTGAAAAAAATCAACTTCTGACCCTAGATGACTAAACCAATAGTGGGGGGGAGGGGGGAGAACGAAGCCAAAGGCGTCTCGCTTCCTGATTTCAAACTGTATTTCAAAACTACAGTAATCAAAAGAGTGGTACTGACATTAAAAAAGGACAATCAGGTCAATGAAAGAGCATAGAAAAACCAGTCAATTCAGGCATGACAAAGGAGCCAAGAATATACAAAGGGGAAAGGACAGTATCTTACTAAATGGGGAACACAAGCACTTGCAAAAATAGGAAAACGAACTGTTATTTCACATCTTGCTCAAAACTCAACTCAAGAAATGAAAGACTTGAACTAAGACCTGAAAGCATGAAATTCTAGAAGAAAATGTAGAGGGAAAGGTCATTCACAGTGGCCTTGATTTTTTTTTTTTTAACTAAAACCGAAAATGAGAAAAAATAAAACCAAGGGGCCTGAGGTTGGAGAGTGGGGAGGGCACTTGCTTGCCTTGCCAGAAGCTAATCTCATTTAGTCCCCTGAACACTGTTCGGAGTAATACCTGAGCACAAAGCCAGAAGTAAGCCCTAAGCACAGACAGATGTGGCCTAAAAGCAAAACAAAATACCAAGGAGACCATACACTCCAGAAGACCAAGCATTTGCAAAAGCACCACAGGAAACTGTCAGGAGACACATCAATGGCCCCCTCTGCCCTCTCTCTAGCACAGGGGAATCTCCCACTGCCTCCACACAGCCCCAAGGACACAGGATGAAGGTTTTGGCAAGCAAAGAAATTTCCTTCTTGCTATTAGAAAAAAGACTGGGGTGTGTGTGTGTGTGTGTGTGTGTGTGTGTGTGTGTGTGTGTGTGCAGAGACAAAGTACAAGTGCAGGCTTTGCACACATAAGACCCAGATCCCATCCCTGGCACCACACATGGTTCCCAACGCCCACCAGCAATAAGCCCTGTAGGGTGGGATCCAAAAACAACAACAACAACAAAAGATATCATCACTTAAGTTTATGTTAAGGCAGAGAAAGAGAAGTTACCTTGACAGCTTTCTGGGAATTGGGCAGTCCTTCCTCTATGTCTTCTAGAAGAATTCCTCCTAAGCCTCGCTGGTCATGCTGATCTAAAAGCCGAAGCAAGGCCTTCTTATCTTTCAAATTGTACTTGGGCTTGAAGGCATACTTCCCGTTTACTACTTCAATTTTGGGATTATTGACTAAAGCCTATAACAGTAACACAATTCAAACATATTAACAAAAGGCAAGCCTTAGTTTTAAATGTTACCGCTTTAAAAATAAAAATGCTCAATTTAAAAGTAAATCAGAAATAGCTTGTAAAGATCAAACAGCAAATCTAAAAATATGGACAGGGACCAGAGCAATAATACAGTGGGTAGGATGTTTGAATTGCAGAGGGCAGGCCTGGGATCGATCCCCAGCATCTCCTATGGTCCCCTAGCACTGCCGGGAGTGATCCCTGAGTGCAGAGACAGGAGTAACCCCCGACCATCACTGGGTATGGCCAAAAATAAAATAATTAAAAGATAAAAATATGGACAGTCAGTATCCAACGGGCTGGAGCAATAGCACAGCAGGTAGGGCGTTTGCCTTGCACACGGCCGACCCGAGTTCGATTCCTCCACCACTCTCAGAGAGCTCGGCAAGCTACCAAGAGTATCTCGCCTGCACGGCAAAGCCTGGCAAGCTACCCATGACATAATCAATATGCCAAACACAGTAACAAGTCTCACAATGTTACTGAGCCCGCTCGAGCAAATCGATGAACAATGGAAGGACAGTGAGAGTGACAGTATCCCAAAAAAAAAAATTATATATATGGTAAAGATGAGCACGGTGCCGACTTTTTATTAAAGAAACTAATACTTACATAAAGTCTTTGGATAAGAAAGATGATTTTATCACAACTATTTGAAACATCAGTCTATTCTTTTGAAAAATGGAAATAAATCAGTAAAGCCTCTATTAAGATAAACAGGAAAAATAAGATGGGCTTTACCTCTCCGACCCTAAAATATATTTTGCATATTAATATTATGTGAGAAACCAGACTCTGGCATGAACGATTAATAATCTGTCTGTCCCAACTGATAATAAGTAGCACCAACATCAAAGAAAGGAACCAAAAAAGACTAGACTCATAAAGACAAAAAATTGGCAGTCAGAGTGATAGTACAGTGGTAGGGCACTGGCCTCGCACTCCAGCAACCTGAGCTGAATTCCGAGCATCCCCTATGGTACGCCAAGCCCTGCTGGGAGTGATTCCTGAGCACAAAGCTAGGAATAAGCCCTGAGCACAGCTGGTGACCACCCATACCACCAAAAAAAAAAAAAAAAAAAAAAAAGGAAAAAAGAAGAAAAGAAAAAAAAGAACAGAAATTTATCTTTTATGCCAACACACTGGCACTCTGGTGGTCAGAAAAGTAAAAATTATATCCATAAAGAAATGCAAAGCTAAACTCTTGAGCTCTATAATAGCAGTAAGTTATACCAATAAATAAATCAGTAAAACAATAATAAATGATCAGGAAAATGATAAACCAATAAACTGATTTGATACTAAATCAATAAATCAAAACAAATAGCACTGTAGCACCGTATTCCCGTTGTTAATCGATTTGTTCGAGCGGGCACCAGTAACGTCTTCATTGTGAGATTTGTTACTGTTTTTGGCATATCGAATACGCCACGAGGAGTTTGCCAGGCTCTGCCATGCGGGCAGGATACTCTCGGTAGCTTGCCAGGTTCTCCGAGAGGGACGGAGGAATTGAACTCTGGGCAGAGGTTTCGAACCATAGTCGACCGCATGCAAGGCAAACGCCCTGCCCACTGTGCTATCGCTCCAGCCCATACCAAGACAAATAATAAAAAGACAAAAATTAAAAAGAAAAATATATGTCAGCCTATCAGTGAAACTGAGGAACATAGACTATAACTAAATTCCCAGACAATTCTACTATATAGCTAATCTCAAGGGCTGGAGCAATAGCACAGCAGGAAGGGCATCTGCCTTGCACCCGGCTGACCCAGGTTCAATTTCTCCGCCCCTCTCGGAGAGCCCGGCAAGCTACCGAGAGTATCTCGCCAGCACGGCAAAGCCTAGCAAGCTACCCCTGACGTATTCAATATGCCAAAAAACAGTAACAACAAGTCTCACAATGGAGATGTTATTGTTGCCCGCTCAGCAAATCGATAAACAATGGGAGGACAGTGCTACAGTGCTATGTATGTGCGTGTATGTGTGTGTGTGTGTGTATTTATATATATTTCATTTTTTTATTTCATCATCCTGTTATTCGTCGATTGCCTCGAGCAGGCCCCAGTAACGTCTCCTTCATCCTAGCCCTGAGATTATATTCAAGGCTCTTTAGGAGAATGAGACCCATCACTGTTACTGGTATTTGGCATATTTGGTACGCCACGGGGAGTTTGCCAGACTCTGCCCTGTGGGCAGGCTACATTCGATAGCCTGCAAGTTTGTCCAAAGTAGGAATGAGACAATAAGATGTCATAAAAAGATGTCCTGATAAGATGTCGCGCAGCTGCAAATTTATATATAAATATATATTTTTTAAGAGTCTATTCTTACCTCACTCATAAGCCATTGCTTCTGCTTGAGTCCAATATCTAAATGTTGTGTTTCATCCAAAATTTCTTCCAAAGTGAGAGGATGTGTATCTCCTCTCTGGTGCCGCGTCTATTGAGAGAAGAAAGAATCATTAGAAGCTTAAAAATACTAAATGATTACATAGTAGTTAACAGATTAATCTTCTCAGGAATGTATTATCTGAGGCAGTTCAATTACAGTGATGAAGAGCATGGATTACTAACTCCAAAAATCCAGTGACATTCAAAGACAGGAACACACAAATATTAGAGAAAGAGCTGCAAACAAACAACTTTCACCAGAATAATCCTTACTCTTGACACTAAAGATATCCTTGTTTCGTGACTACTTATGAAACTGTAAGGAACAGGGCCTTTCACACATTGCTGATAAAATGCAAACTGACTAACTCTCAGGGATGGCAACTTCGACAAAAAGTGTTTAAGCCTATTCATCCAACAAACCCATTTCTAGGACTTGACCCCCCACTGATAAGCAGAATACAGAAAAGTGACAAAGTCATAGCAGTGTGTGGTGGGGAGGGGGCAGACACTTAAGAAATAAACTGTACCACAATCGTGGTATTCCACAGATGCTAACAGGAAAATGAGGGAAGTGAAGGTGTAGTTCAAGTGGAAGAACACAGGCCTGCATTTGGAAGGACTTTGGCTTCAGGTCAGAGCCTTCAGCGCCATGCACCGCTGGGCATGAGCCCACCACAATGAAGGTAGAGAAGGAGAAGGAAGGAGGGGGCAGAAGAGGAGGACAGGAGGGTATTTCCTATGTGCTATTTTGGTCTTCTGTCTTAGGGGCTGTTTTGTTTTTTATCTGTGGGGGAGGCCACACCTGGCAGTGCTCAGGGAACCATATGGGTGTCAGGGATAGAATCCAAGTCAGCTGCACGCACGGCAAGTGCTCTACTCGTTGTACTATTGCTCCTGCACCATTGTTACAGCACTAACTTGGAAAGTCCATGATGAATTATTATGCATAAAGGCTATGTTCAGGGGCTGGAGCAATAGCACAGAGGGTAGGGCGTTTGCCTTGCACGCAACCGACCTAGGTTCGATTCCCAGCAACCCATATGGTCCCCTAAGCACCACCAGGAGTAATTCCTGAGTGCATGAATCAGGAGTAACTCCTATGCATCGCCGGGTGTGACCCAAAAAGAAAAAAAAAAAAAAGGCTATGTTCAGCACCAGCAAGTCCACAGGATTCGGAAGAAGAGGATAGAAATCACAACTCGATCACAATAGCCAAAATCTGGAAAAAAAAAAACCCAGTGCCTGAGAACAGATGACTGGCTAAAGAAACTTTGGTACATCTACAGAATGGAATACTACACAGTTGTTAGAAAAAATGAAGTCATGAAATTTACATACAAGTGGTACTACATGGAAAGTATCATGCTAAGTGAAATGAGTCAGAAAGGGAGGGACAGACATGGAAAGATTGCATTCATTTGGGGAATATAAAGTAACAAAATAGGAGACTAACACCCAAGAATAGCCAAGATAAGTACCAGAGGTTCACTCCATGGCTTGGAGGCCAGCCGCACATGCTGGGGGAAAAGGCAGCTCAGATAGAGAAGGGAGCACCAAGTAAAGGGTGTTGGGAGGATCCTCCCAGGATGGAGATGCATGCTGAAAGTTGACTACAGATCAAACATGATTGCCACTCAATGTCTCTTTTGCAAACCACAGCATCCAAAAGGAGAGAGAGAGCAAAAGGGAATGCCCTGCCACAGAGGTGGGGTGGGATGGGGGGGATGGGGAGGTGGCAGGGATACTGGGATCATTGGTGGTGGGGAATGGGCACTGGTGGAGGGATGAGTATTCGATCATTGTATTACCCAAGCACAAAAATTTGTAAGTATACAACTGTACCTCATGGTGTTTCACAAAAAAAAATTTTTGTTTTACTTCAAAAAAATAAAAAGAAATCATGACTCGAGATGACAACAAATACCTTAAGAGGTGGTCAATAAATTGATTCCAGATAGCATTAGGAAACCCATGATGTCTCTGGGCTAAAAACTCTGGGACACCCTTGGGAGGAGGCAGGCCAAGAAACATCCAAGTTCTACAAATCCTAAAGCCCCAAATTCCACAACACTGACAGCCCACTACGAACACGGCAAATAAGATGGGAAAGCAAGGCTCAACCAGCAACAACAGACAGGTATATCCTCAGACAATGGCTCTAGAGACCCCACTGGGAAATGTAGTAATTTTCACAAACTATCTTTCATTTAAATATTTTCCCATATTCCACTTACCATTTTAATTGTAATAAGCAATATAAAATATATTACTTTGTCTCTGCCATGGGGCCAGGCTTGCTGAGGTGGATGGGAAACTGGGGACAAAGGTGGAGGGAATGTCTCACTGGTGGTGGAATTGGTGTTGGAACACTGAATTTTTGTTTTTCATCTGTGGGGGGAGGCCAACAGTTGTATTACGGACAACTTCATAAACCACAGTGTTAATTTTAATTGTGTAAAAAGGTTTTTAATATTAAAGATTGTCTATGCTCTATTTCTTCATAACGAACCCTCACTATTAATAATCACAAAGAACTAATGAGAGATTACCTAAAGAAAGCAGGTAGGAGAGAAAAAAAACTGAGAAAAAGAATGTTTCATATACACCTCTTACATTGTTTTTATACCAAGATATAAAATTTATTTTAAACTCCCATTGGAGGGATGAGTATTCGATCATTCCCCCCCCCAAAAAAAAAAAAAACACATTGATTTAATTAAAAAAGCCAAAGCCTCTAAGTGTTAAGCTCCATCACTACTGTGTAGGCTACCTTTCTATCAATCAGGTTAAACTAAAATAATCATTTTTCAAAGGGTTAAGTCCGGAAGGCTGATACAGACAAATTCAAGTGCAATAACATTTTAAGAATCATTTATTGAGCATTTGCTGCTAGTTCATTTTTCATTCACAAACTCAGTGATTACTCCTGAGTCAAGGGTACTTGCAATGACATGTACAATGTGCCTGCAAATCACTAGTGCCTTCCAACAACACACCGTGTCGGGTTGCAGCTAAACCTACACACAGGAAAGTTGGGTATAAATTTCTGCCAAAAAGAGGTACAGTCAGAGAGGAGAGAGAATGGTGCTCCTGAATACACATTTAAATGATTACTAAGCCCAGAGGAAAAGGAGGTGGAGCACTGCTGTATTCGACAGCGGTCTCCGACTCAGATTACAGTTTACAGTCTACTTGAAAATATTGGGCAACAGTATGTGGTGCTGGGGACCAATCCTGGGTTGGCTGTGTCCAAGTCAAGTGCCCTACACAAACTGTACTATCGCTCTGCCCGAGAGCTTTATCAATTTTGTTTTGTTCTGTTTTGTTTGGGGGCCGTACCTTAATGATGCTCCAACACTTATTCCTAGGTCTGTACTCAGTGATCACTCCTGGCAACCCCAGGTTACCACCTGGGGTGTTGGGGTTTGAAAACGGGTTGGACACATGCAAGGCAAACACCCTACTCACAGTACTATCGCTCCAACCCCAAAGCTCTATCAATTTTTAATGAAAAGTTTTTGTTTGATGCCAGAAAGAAAAGTATGAAGAGTAGGGGACTTGCCTTGCACTCGGCTGACCTTGGTTCCGACCCCAGCACTCCATATGCACCCCCCGCCCAAGGCATGGCCAAAGGAATCCTGAGCACAGAACCATGAGAAAGTCTTGTGCTTTGCCAGGTGTGTGTGACTGAAAAAACAAGTTTTTTCTTAATAACTGGGCCAAAGAGGTAGTCAAAAGTCTGGCACATGGGCAGAATGTCCTGACCCCACGCCAGGCTATCTTCACCAGGGCATCTCGGAGGGGGGTTGACTTTCCCTCCCCGCCCCAAGCAGAACCCCGACAGCAGCCGAAAACCTCCCGAACCCAACTGCCGCCATGCCCAAGGCCACCCTCCACAGGCTCGGATGAGCCTCACCCAAGTGTGAACCAGCAGAAAAACCCAGGTATGTGGGCCCAGGTGACTGAGCTCTCCAAGACCGTTCAGATCGAGACTGGGCCTCTCCCCCCTGCTCCCCAGTTTTCCAGCAGCTGGGCAGTCACACCCACAAACTGCGCTCCTCCCTCCCCCCAGCGATCTGTAGTCTCATCAAGGCCAAGATCCAGAGACTATAAACCAAAGCTCCTGGAAGAGAGCAACGCAGAATTTCCTGGAGCGCACTGGAGGCCGAGTGACCTCAAGCCCACTTACGTACCTAAAGTAGCACACGTCTGTTTGGCTTTAACATACTTGCTTGTATTCTCTTATATACCGGTTTAAATGGCTCCAGAATGAAACACAACAACCTTCACACTCTTCTTATTGTGGTGGGAAGGTGCTCAGTGGTGGGATTGGTGTTTGAATATTATTTGCAACGAACTATCGCGAACTACTGTATGAAAATAAAATACTTAAAACTTGTTTAAAAAAAATCTGCCACGCATGCACTGCATGTAGGAAGCCCAAAATCAACTCCTGGCACCACATAGTCCCCTAAACACTGCTGGGAGTAGCCGCTGAGCACTCAGATGACACAAAAACAAATAAAAATTATGCTGTACTGACTGGGAATGCAGCTCAGTCAAAAAATACTTGCTTGGGATATGTGGGGCCCTGGGTTCAGTTCTAGCATTTTCGTGGGGGAGGAGGGAACTATACAAAAATTTCATTTACTAATGTTTAGTATGCGGCCTGACAACCAAGACCCCTAAGCTTCAGGCATGGAGGAGTTGTTAGGAAGAGCAGCAACCCCAGGTGACGGACGAACAGACAGAAATGGTCTTAATCGCTACTTCACGTTCAGTCAGACAACAAACCGAGTGGACTAGCAAAGGACACCAGCTTTGTGATTAATTTAATCTAGAAATTATAACAGTTTCTAAACCCATAAGGACTGTCCACTTAAAACAGACTACAATTTTATTTTTGTTTTGATTTTTTTGTTTGGGGGCCATACCCAGCAGTGCTCAGGGCTCACATCTGGCTCTGCACTCAGGAATCACTCCTAGCAGTGCTCGGGAGACCACATGCGATGCCAGGAATCGAACCCATCTCAGTTGTGAGCAAGG